TTTCTTTGCATTTTTTAAACATACTTTATTTTGCTTTTCCTGAATCCTTAATGCACAGATAAAATTCTTGGTAAATAAATAATCATTCCCTAAAGCAACATAACTTAGCATACATTTATAAAATGTTATGGGTCATCGTTTATGGTAATGGAGTGTGAACAAGCAAATTAATTCAAAGTATGAGGGGAAAAACTGGTTTCAGGCAGCAATCATAAAACTCTTAGTCTTTGAGACTTTGGTCTCAAGAACATGAACCAGCCGGGAGACTTCAGGCCACTTGCTACAAAGCTCAAATCCCCACAAACCCTCCACCCAAAGTCATGTTCAGTACTTTGATGATGAGTTTATATGATTTACGAAGGAGACATTTATTCAAGAGTGGAACCAAGATTTGCTTTGCCATGTCAAAGCAGTAAGATGGCAAACAGAGAAAAATAATTTTGCCTTAGAGTAAACTACTTTGAGATAAGATTTTCACAAAGTCTACTGGATGTATTCTTATTGGCAATATTCAAGCACGGTTAAAAACCTTGATGAAGGATGCACCCTGAGTCAATTGCACAACCAAAACTAGATTCCAAGTATCCTAGTTTATATGGCATAGGATTTTTTGGCTCTTTTGAATGAGAGAAAGCAATGGAAAGGGCTTCTGTGCTTGTAAATTTACTATCAGATCTTAATAGTCAACAAAAAAACACATACGTTTGAGTTTTTTTCCCCCTCTATGGTATAAATATATTTAAAACTCTGAAACTCTAGTGAGTCAAACACATTATTAATACCTAAGGGAGAGTTGAACAACCTACATTTACTACACTTTTGAATAATTTAGAAAATGATTGCTTTACTAACTTGCACATATATTGGTTTCTCTGCCATCCTCTCATAGAATATTCTTTTTGCATCATATTGTGAAGTCCTAGTGATAAATTGAAGAACCATTACACTGTGACCAGGAAAGGCATCCATCAGGAAGGAATGCTTATTTTAGAGGAAATTTTAAATATCCTATTCATCCTGTAGCCTACTTTGTAAGATTTTTTTTTACAGTCTTGGATATTCTCATCAATTCAGATCTAAGGGTCATAGGTAGCACTGGAGTTTATCAGGTAGCAGAGCAATTTCCTGGACCAAATATTCAAGTCTAATCGGAAAACATGGGTTTTATTACCAAGACTATCTTGAAAAAAAGGCATGTGACGAAGGCTGTGTCTCTTGGGATCCCCAATTAATCTATGCCAAAAAAAAAAAAATGCCCTCTCCCAAAGTTAGTAGCTGCTGATGGTCTGGCCATGGGATCTTAATAAACTAGAATACTGATAATTTTTTTTTTTTTTTTTTGAGACGGAGTTTCGCTCTTGTTACCCAGGCTGGAGTGCAATGGCACGATCTCGGCTCACCGCAACCTCTGCCTCCTGGGCTCAGGCAATTCTCCTGCCTCAGCCTCCTGAGTAGCTGGGATTACAGACACGCGCCACCACGCCCAGCAAACTTTTGTATTTTTAGTAGAGACGGGGTTTCACCACGTTGACCAGGATGGTCTCGATCTCTTGACCTCGTGATCCACCCGCCTCAGCCTCCCAAAGTGCTGGGATTACAGGCTTGAGCCACCGTGCCCGGCAATACTGATAATTTTTTTTTTTTAAGTTTTTCTCAAATCAAACCAAATAAATAGCTCTCCTAACCAAATAATCTATCTTCAACGTTCATGGACATTTTAACACATTCTTCAATTCCCTGCTCTCATTGATTATACATTTTAGTTATGAGAAAATGAAAGTTACGTTTGACCTATTCTGCTGCCATATGTATAGAATTCTTTCAGAGAAAAATAGAATTTTTAATGGACTGAAAAACAGCCTCAAATGTTTCATGCATCTGAAATTGACTGCATGGTGTACAACTGTGCTGTCCAATATGGTAGTCTCTAACCACATGGGGTTATTGAGCACTTGGAATGTAGCTATTCGAAATTGAGATATACACACTGAATATCAAAGACTTAATATTAAAAAAGGAATGTAAACTGTTTCCTAATATTTTTATACTGATTATATGTTGAAATAATATTCTATATATATTTTATTAAGTAAAATACTAAAACACTCCTGTGATTCACTTCCCTACAAGATGGGGTGCGCCTATTGCTAATAAATACTTATATTGCAAATATTAGAAATATATTCTCCAAAGATTAAATATATTAAAGATTAAATAAATCTTTAAAATGCAAGGGTCCACATCTAAACCCAATTTATTGCACCAATTTCTTTTTACTTCTTAAAAAGTAAAAAATTTTGAATTACTTACTTAGTTAGCATTTGTAGCTGATACAGATTACCAGTTTCTGCCCTACCAGGTTAGCCTCAATTTTTTGGACTGCATTTATTCTTACGTTGGTGTGAATATATTATGTTAGCTTTTAATTATTTGCGCAAATAGGGACTGAGGATATCTAAGATTAACATATTCCTCAGGTAATTAAAAACTAGATTTTAATTATTAACTTCAGTCTCCTCTGTTATTTCATTTTTCCCAATACTGTCAGAAAATTATTTTATTATCTTATTATCTGTCTTAGGATTCATTCCCTTCTTCTCCCCTTTTAAATGTGACCTGCCAGAAGAAACAATGAGGAATGAACTGTCCCATAGAGATGAAAGATAAGTAGGAGGCAAGAATGGAGAAGAAACTAGGATATCTGCTCCTAAGTGGTAGAGAGCATGAACTTTCAAGTCCACCTTATGAATTCAGTGTTGTTTTCTTATTATCGTTTTTGTTTGTTTGACACAGGGCCTCACTCCGTCACCCATGCTGGAATGCAGTGGCACGAATGTGTTTCACTGCAGCCTTGACCTTCTCAACTGCAGCATTCCTTCCACCTCAGCCTCCCAAGTAGCTGGGACTGCAAGTGCATGCCACCACACCCAGTTAATTTTTAAAATTTTTTTGTAGAGGTGGGTTTTCGCCATGTGGCCTAGGCTGGTCTCGAACTTCTGGGCTCCAGCAATCCTCCTGCCTCAACCTTCCAAAGTGCTGGGATTACAGGCACTAGCCACTGCACCCGGCTGATTCAGCATTGTTTATTGATGGCCTGCTCTATGGCAAGCCTTTGGTTGGTACTGAGAAAAAGTAACCCACGATTTAAAATCATTCCTATAGTAATGGTAATTAAGAGCTGAATCTTTCTCTGATTCACTTGTCACACAATGACTCTTATGACACTGTATTATGTTGGTTATCCAAGTGTCACCATAGTATCATGAACAAAGTCTCATGGAAGAAGAAAGTTTGAAGAGAAATCCTTACAAAGACAAAGAAAATCACTTACTTCAGGAAGGGTAAATAACTAAATAAAAAGACAAGGAGAAGAACAGGGTGGAAGAAGACAAGAAGTCAAAGTCATTTGGGGTATATAGCCCAGATGAGGGTAGTTTGCCATGGGTAAGCTATACTTTAGCCCAAAGAGGCAAGAGCCTTTGAGTATGGCAAGGGCAGGAGTTTCAGTCATCCTAAAATGAAGCTTTGATAATAAATATGGATGTTTATTTCACACCAGTCCCATTTTAAAGGAGGAAAAAATGCCTTTGTCCAAAACTTTGTAACTAGCAATAATCAGAAGATATCACCCTGGTCTTAAACTAGTTTAGACCACTTAAATAAGATATAGTCATTCTATAATCATGGTAATTGAGGGCTCAATCTAAGAGACTTCCCAATAGTTTCAAAATGTTTCCTAGAAAAGAAACCTTTTTCAAAGCTCAAAGAAGTACAGTCTTCAGAAAGAGCCAGGTAGAAGCCAGATAAGCTAAATTAAGTAGATGCATTTGAAATTATTCAAAGTCATATCTTAAAAAGAAATTAGAAATCGAGGAGTATTCTCAATTTGACAGAAAAGGAACTCTTTTCTCGCACCTTGAACTCAGATACTATCTTAATGAGAAGGGAAGTCTTTTTCAAAATCAGACCACAGGAAAAAAAAAAAAAACTATATAAAAGTTTAAACCCTTATTTATACTACCTACTTCTTATTTCTATTCGACTAGTAATCAGTTATGAAACTTCTTCTATAAGACACTAGCACATTGAACAATTCTCAAAGGCATAACTGAATTTCAAAGAAACTTCTGCGGGAATAACATTCTTGTCGTCATCCAGGGCATTCCCTGGATTTGTAGAATACTTTAAACTCTTTTGTTTTGTCTTCTTAGAAAACATGTCAGCCAGACACGGTGGCTCATGCCTGTAATCGCAGCACTTTGGGAGGCTGATGGGGGCAGATCATGAGGTGAAGAGATCAAGACCATGCTGGCCAACATGGTGAAACCCCATCTCTACTAAAAATACAAAAATTAGCTGGGCATGGTAGCATGCGCCTGCAGTCCCAGCTACTCGGGAAGCTGAGGCACAAGAATCACCTTAACCCAGGAGACGGAGGCTGCAGTGAGCTGAGATCTTCCCACTGCACTCCAGCCTAAGTGACAGAGCGAGACTGTCTCAGGAAAATAGATGGACAGATGGATGGATGGATGGATGAAGGAATAAAATGAAGTACAGGGAGGTTCATGGAAAGAAGTGCAGATCCTCTGCTTAGCTCAGGAAGGTTCTCTATTTGGTCGTAGCATGACTCCCAAAGACCTTCATTTACTCTGGCTTTTCCTTCTTTGTAGACCTTCTCTCTTAAGTTCTCTTTATGTGCTATACTTATCCAAATCTGACTTTTCACCAGAGGAAATATTCCCATTAGTGGAAGAACGTCTTAGGTTCCCTTTACCACCCCTGCAGCCTTAAAAACACTTTAAAATCACTCACAAAATGAATCTTTCAGCTTTTGGGGCAAAAAATAAAAATGTCGTTAAAATGACCAGAATATATTTAGTTTGTTTGCGTTTTTTTTTTCTTTTAAGTTTTATTTCAGTCGTTTTGATTTGCTGTGAAAAGTTTTATGGAACTGTTGTTCATTGACCAACTACTGTGTTTTTGCTATCTACAAAATGCAGAATGTGGTGGTCGCCCCAAGTTCAGCTGACAGAGTTGCTAATGGTGATGGGATACCTGGAGATGAACAAGCTGAAAATAAGGAAGACGATCAAGCTGGTGTCGTGAAGTTTGGTTGGGTGAAAGGTGTGCTGGTGAGAAAGCTCCTCTGTTTACAAATAAAAACTATTCATTCAGTGTTCTGGTGGATTAAGAGTGGTCAAGTCCCGGGCACAGGGTTATGAAGAGCTCCGGGTTTTGTCCCACTGTTGTTTGTCCTGTCTCTTTTCAGTACCACTTCTATCCACAGGTAAGATGCATGCTGAATATCTGGGGAGTCATGCTCTTCATTCGCCTCTCCTGGATTGTTGGAGAAGCTGGAATTGGTAAGCATGTTTCCCCTCCTAAGTAGTTTGCTATGTAAATTATAAATTCAATGAGCAACCTGTTTTCTCCATTAATGCTGAATGTGAGGTGAAGGTCACAGAAATAATTTACACTTGGGCACCTTTTCCTTTGCTTCTTTGATGATGTTTGTCAGAAAGAAAAGGTGAAGAGTTAACTCCTATGAAACTGGAATTTTCCAGTTTGCCAAACAGGTGAATGATCTAGGAGGTGTTTCTATCTTTTGATAGAGTTATAGGTATACAGATATATAATAGCAGGTTAATTTTAGGTAATAATATTTGTATTTGGGGACATACTGACATTTGCCTCTCATTTGTTACAGAGTATCCTTCTTGTAATAATTGGTAAAACTTCACAGAACAAAAATAACTTGTGGGAAAACTGGTGAAAATGTGAGCTGACTAATAAAAATGCTGAATTGTTGAACTTTTTCCAAAGAAAATAATTGTGTTACTTTCAACACCAGCAGTAAGAAAACAAAGGTTAATCAAATATTGCCAGATATAAGCTTAAAGTGATAGATGAAATGACTAAGATAATGTATATTACTGTTATTTTTTCTAAATGAAAAATGGATAATAATGACATTATTTTAAGTGATTATCTGATTTTTTTTTTTTTTATAAAGATGGGATTTCACCATGTTGACCAGGCTGGTCTTGAACTCCTGACCTCAGGTGATCCACCCACCTCGGCCTCCCAAAGTGTTAGGATTACAGGCGTGAGCCACCGCACCCGGCATTTATCTGATGTTTTAAATATTACATTCCATTTTAAATATGATTTCTTCTAGCAAATCTTTTTTGTTGAAAGTATATTAGTACAATTTTTATGAAAAATGTAATTGAATTTTATCAAAGTTTCCCATTTAATGAGATAAAAATTAATGATGTTCTATTCCATATATGGGAAATACATGATGAATTCACTTTTGGGAGAACAGTCAGTCTCAAGAGTATGGAAGTTCTATTGTGCTTTCAGATAGCATTCCAAAGGGTATCTCAATTCACATTTTAAAAGGTAGTTGGTTATTATTTATTGCCTTTGCTCCTCAAAACACATTCAACATCACCGGAAGACTAACTCAAAAAAGAAAGGGCTAAGCTGTAAATTGAAAAACTGGAGCCAGTTCCCATAGTTTTTCCATGTTTCATGTTTGGCAACTGCTGGGTTCCTGACAGAGGGCTGCCTGCCGGTTTTATGATGCATAGCAAATGAATGCTCACAGCCCTAGGGTCCAAAATAAGTATATGCTGTTCCATGGAAAATCTGCATCTTAATATTGCCAAGGTTTTGCTCCAGGGTTTCATGCAAAATTAGGTTTTTAAGGGCAGTTTAGTAACTTATTGAGATCATCAAGAAACATTACTTTGTTTGGAGGTGTGAGAGTAGCCAAGGGCAAGAGTAATTCTTTTTAATGCAACTTATTTAACATCCATATGTTTGGGCAATAATCTGAACTTTAATCAGATCTTACATTACTCTTCACAGTCAACTCAGTTTTGAGTTTACTGCAAAATTGTCGAGTATGAAGAATGCTATCTTCTGCTAAATGGTTTATTATACTATCAGACATTAATTTTATTTTAGTAAAGATCTTTTTATTAAAGTAGTTAAATTATAAATTAGAAGACAGTAAAAGTCTACCTAATAAGTGTTCAATGGGGTTTCCTTTGAATGGAGGTTTGTGTCTGTTTTTCTTTCTTTCTTTCTTTCTTTCTTTCTTTCTTTCTTTCTTTCTTTCTTTCTTTCTTTTCTTTCTTCCTTTCTTTCTCATTCATTCTCAGAAGATAGACTTTAGTGAGTACTAGAAACTTACTGTCAACCTTATTCAGTTTTACTGGCCTTTGCTATGAACCTAAAACTAAATGAGTTAACTTGCCATCTGGGTCCCATTTGGGTTTTCCTTGTTGGGGAAGAAAAGAAACAACTATATCGATTTGTTCTTCCTTTGGGGGTAGATTGAGGAAGAAATCTGAATACATTTTTAAGCCCAGACCCTGGGAATAGAGCCAGAGGAATCTGGAGCCAAGAGTCACAGTAGCTATAGCCTTTGTGTAACCATTCTGGGCTATTAGTTTTGACGGCCGTGTTCCCAAAAGCAAAGGGTGGAATGAGCTGATAATGTTGTCTAGTTCTTCTCTGTCTTGGATACCTTGCTGGGGCAAGATGGTTTCCAAAAATTTTAACCATCAGGCAAGGAAGTTGGGTGTGAAAAGCTGGTATGACCTGAAGCAAGTCACCTATATTCAGTGTTTCCCTTTCTTTTCTAAATATTAAGGAGCAATGAATTCTTTGAAGATAAAGCTAAAGTACCTTTCTGAATAGGTAGACACAAGTTGAGGTAGGCTAAGGGTAGCTTAGTTGTCTTACTGTGGGATGCAAAAGAATTATCTGGGAAGTTAGGTTAGGAAACTGCAGAATCCTGGGATTTACTTTTAAAGATCCAAACTCAGTAGGTCTGAGCATTCTTAATAAGCACCCCAGGCATTTCCTGAAGCAGGTGGTTCAAGAACCACAATTTCAGAAACAATAAACTGAATGTTCTCCAAGCTGCCTTCTACCCTGGAATTTTATGTTTGTTGTGAGAGAGAAGCAGATCCCTTGCTGTTCAAAAGTATAAAACTTTGTTCGAAGATTTCAAATGGTTTGTAGAAATATATACAATGCAAAAGGATGAATTAAGAATTGTTGAGAAACTTAGAGTCAGAAGGAAAATAACAGCAAGGAAATAATAAGGTTGGAGTAGGTTTAATGTTATGAAATGCAAATTATATGGTCCTGTAGAGTTTCTGGGGTATGCTAAACATTTTCTGTCAAGCTTCTTCCAAACAAAGTAAGGAGCAAAACAAATGCAAAATAAATCACCTTTACTGGCACAAGGACCTGAAGCCACATAGTGATATAGAGGCACTGCTCACCATAGTATCCCTGCAATAGATATGAAGAATTAATTTAGTGCAACTATTTTTTATAACTTCTAGCTTTTAAGAGCCTCCATTAAAGAGGGTATTGTAGGGAAGAAAAAATGGTTATCTTCTACCCATCTTAGGCTCATTGGCTGGGGGGCCTATAAATTAGGCTGACAAAAGTCAGATTGGTAAGAGAAAAACAATGTATTAACATGTACATGGTACATACACATGGGAGCACTCAGAGATGAGTGACTTAAAGGGGTGGTTAGAACCTGGGCTTACATATCATCTTAACAAAAGAACAATTAAATTCTAAAGAGGTGACAAGACAAAGGAAAATGACTTTTTATTCATAGGGTGGCAAATGGTGGCAAGGTAAATGCATAGGGAAGGGAATGGAAGGTGAGAGTTAGCACAGCTTGCTGTGTAGATGCCTGTGGTGCCTTGTCAGGCTGATTAGAGTTCAGAATTGTCTCTGGTGATCGGCTTCTCTGCTCCCTGGTAGAGAGGGGAGAGAGGAGAAATTTATGTCCTGTTTTTAGATCAATAGAAAGGGGATTGAGAGCTTTTCTTGTATCTGCTTCTTTTCTGTTGTCTCAGCTCCAAATAATTCTTATGCCAAAGTGTTATATTCTGATACCCTTCCGCACCCTCCTAGCTATGTGTTTTTTGAAGCTCAAAGCAGTCACACCTTCCTTCAATTCTGGCCCCTACCATTTTCTCCCTCTTCTTCTAATTGTCAAGCTTCTGAGCCATAAAATCCTTGGAGCAGCTTTTTAAATTCCGTTTTATTTGTGCCTTGTGTTTCTTGCATTGCCTGTCACAAAGATGGGTCTATAGTAGGTTTTTACAAAGCAGTAAATATTATGACTATTGTGGATATGATCAAAAAGCAATACCATTGTGTACTGTGTTCCATGGGCTATGCTAGCCACTTTACACATGCATTCTTTCTAATTTCATTGCTATTTTTGGCTTAGTTATTTATTTTAAATGACTTACAATAATAAGTAACTTTCCAGAATTCACAGTCAATAAGTTAATGTAGTTTAATTTGATTCTTTCCACTTTACCCATCTGCCAGATGAATAACTTGCTATACAATATGTAGTTCACCCGTGTGTGAACAAACGTGCATAAAAAGATAGTCACCTGGAAGGGTGAACATTTAATCTCTAGTTATGCTGACAGCTTGGAATTTTAGGCCAATTGTCATGTTTATAGGTGCCTAGAACTTCTTCAAAGATAGGATTCTGTCAAGTACAATGGGGCAAGCCTGTAGCCCCAGCTACTTGGGAGGCTGAGGCAGGAGGATGACTTGAGGCCAGGGGTTCAAGACAAGCCTGGAAAAAATAGTAAGACTGTCTCTAAAAATAAATAATAATAAGATGGGGTTCACATTAAATTTTGACCAGCCCTAGTGGTTTTGTTTTGTACAACTCAGTACTGCACATTTTAGCTCTTGAGTTTCTTGGAACCTGAGCTACTACAAGCAGAAAACTTCAAAGCTAATGCATGTACTCCATGGTGATTTCCTGGCCAACTTGTTAAACTCAAATGTGGTCCTTTGATGTTTACCCTAGATATGCTGGCTTTTATGTAAATGATCCAATGAATTCTTCCACCATTTAATGCCTTTATTTTTCCTGTTTCAACTGAGGTCTTGGTGTGATTATCATCGGCTTAGCCGTGACAGTGACTGGTATCACTGGTTTATCCACCTCTGCTATTGCCACAAATGGATATGTCAGAGGAGGTAATTAAACTTGTGACCCGCACCATCATTTGTAAGGTAAAGGCAACACAGGCTCTAATAGTTCACCACTGACCTTTCTGGAGTGTTTTCAAAGGTAATGCAAGTTGGTTCCTTTTCCCCCATCAGGCAAAGAGATGTGAGAAAAATGGGGAAGGAATTAACCTTTGTCAAACCCCCAACTTTCTCATTCAGGTTCCTTCAAGCAAGAAAGAAGGTCAAATGCCATGTTTTCTCTTTTCACAGCCAGGATAGTTTCTCTCCCAGGACATCAGCATAAGTCAACTTTTCCTTTCCAAGGCTGCACTTTAGATTGTGTTTACTTTTGGAAACCATCCTTCATCATAATGAGCAGTTCTTCGACTTGATCCTTATGCCAGGCAAACCATTTTCTCCTTAGCACAAAGAAACCCCATTGGAGCCCGAGTGATGGACCTGAAAACTTAAATTAAAGGCAGTGTAGCTTGCAGCAATAGGGAATCCAAGGAAGAAAAGTAAAATGCAATATCTTCTATCTTTCATTGCTAACAGGTCTTGGAGTTCTCATAATTCTTCTTTCCACCATGGTAACTTCTATTACTGGGTTGTCAACTTCTGCAATAGCAACTAACGGGTTTGTCCGTGGAGGTAAAATCTCTAAGATCTCTAATGCCCTCATCACTTGCTACGGGTAGGCAAACAATTTTTTATACTTCTTTTTGATGGGAACAAGGAAGTAGCCCAGTGTTCTCGAAGCCTGGCTATTTGGTGGAGCTGGATGCCAATGGAAACCTAAGGTACACTTAGAATGGTCCTGGTCTACTCTGGTCTCTTTTCTAATGGATCTCTCTGGCACATTGTAGGTCGTGCATGATAGATGTACACCTTCCTTGGGTAAACATTTTCTTTTTCAGGCTATCTGCACATGTCTAGCTGATGTTCCTTGGAAAATGATTCCCAGCCTTGGCTTCAGTTTTAAAGTTCAGTACATTTCAGGTGCTTCCTAGACCTTCATAAAATGGGATTCTTTAGAACATTTCAGGTTTTCACAGGGAGGTGGATCTTTCTGTGACGAGATTCAGGCTGCTGCTTCCTGAAGTACTGGTGACTTCTGTCAGTACTGGAACCAAACACCTTTCTTGGGGGATTTTGCAGGTCTTGGAGTCATCATCATTGGCCTGAGTGTGGTCGTGACGACACTCACAGGTATTTCTATGTCTGCTATTTGCACGAATGGAGTAGTAAGAGGAGGTAAGCTGATTAATTTACTTATGACTGGAGGCTTGGTAACTAGTCATGTCTGGAGTTAGTTTACTATTGGAAGTGAAATTTACATATTGCTAATTAATCACCAGTGTCCTAAAACAAAACAAAATAATCCGAAATTTAAATAGCAAAGCAAATTTTTCTCAGCTAAAATTAGAATATCTTCACTGACATGACCCATTTCTTGTGATGAGACATGTTTACAAAGTGGACAGTGACTATGTGTCTACTAAGAAGGTATGGAATATTTAGCAAAATATATGAGTTCTTTGTCCCTTGGACGAGACCCACCGGCTCTCTCACAGGACCCCTCAGCATGGGTCTTCTCCAGTGCTCCAGCTGGCACTGCTGATGATTCCTACTCAGTAAACCACTCCTGCACTCAGGCCTCGAGGCTCACCCCAAACGCTGTGCTCCCGATGACCAACAGGCAAGGGAAGATCATTAAAAGGTAGTAAATAAATACATAAGCAAAGAGTTATCTTCTAATCATCTCGGAGTAGTCAGGCCTAGGCAGAAAGTGAAATGGATGAAATGTATCGTGTTCTTCTAGCTTCCTTTGTTGCCCCTCCCCTTCCCCTTTGGTTTCTCTGGTCATCGGCTTGGGCACCTTATCCAGGTCTTCCTACTCAGGGCCTTCTAAAACACCCTCCTGCCCAGGGCACACCTCCACTGTCAACTTCTGCCTGTCTCTCTTGTTGGCCCAGCCCACCTAGGTAAAACTGGCTAGCTCATTTGTTTAAGGTAACCTGTATAAAGGAAATAAGGGGGGTTTGCTTCACCCAGACAATATGTTACATTTTTAGAGAGGACTTTGACCCCTGAGCCCAAAAGAGTTAATATAGTGAAAGAAATTTCTTCTCAGCAGAAAGTAATTTTGTTTTGTTTTTAGGTATGTTTGTTATTCCTGTGCCAACTCTATCCACCTTCAAGGCCAGCTTAGCATAGCAAGTCGTAATCTTGCTATGGTCTGTGATAATCAGACCTCTTAACATCTAGTTCTTTCCATCCTCAGTAAGCTGCCCTAGGTACCCTCTAGGCAGTTGACCAATCTAGTTCCATTCTTCATGTGCACGGAAGCATTATATATATTTAAAAGAATTACCTTTTCAATGTGCGAGGGCGAAGTAATTGTTCCAAACCCTCCCTGCTTCTCTTCCTACTCACCACCCCCAAACACATGCTCTCAGTGGCCAACAGGCAACGGACCTCCTTGCCACACCCATACATATATGAGTATTTAGCAATAATCATCCCTTCTTGAGCTAAAAACATAGAAAACCAAGTTTGTTTAATAGAATGGATAATATGCCACACTGTACAGATATCTTGTTTTATTCGGCACACATATATCTGAAAATATGTATATATAAAAATATATATATATATTCCATATATACACAACAGAAAGAAGTTAGAAAAACAAAGATAAACTTCACCTACTTCATTTTCTACCTAGACTTTCCTACTCCTAGAGATTTGGGTTATAAAATTTTACTTCAGTTGCATTATTAATTTGAATCCTCCAGTGATCTTTTTATAAAGACAACACATTTTTTGGTAAAGTTTGCTGTGTTCTTATTTGTAGCCTTTTTATATTTAGGTTTTAATAGATTGTATTTTATTAAGTCAGGATACGTCTATTGTAGATCAAGAAGAGAGTACCAAGAAGGGCTAAGTTATTCATTGTGGTAACACAGGATTCCAAAAATTGTTAGGAAGTGGTAATACTGTTACTGAAATAATTCACGCTGTAAATGTTCTCAGATGTTCATAATCATTTGGTCACATATACTAGCAGTTCCTCAATGTAAAGTATGTTCATTTCTTGTTTCAGGTGGGGCCTACTATCTTATTTCCAGAAGTTTAGGGCCTGAGTTCGGTGGGTCAATAGGCCTGATCTTTGCTTTTGCTAATGCAGTCGCTGTTGCTATGTATGTGGTGGGATTTGCTGAGACTGTAGTAGATCTTCTTAAGGTAATTAAAAGCTTTTCTTTTTTTCTGCCAAGCAGAATAATTTAGTTTAGTTTGCCTTCTTAGGGCACTAGGCAATATCATTACAACTAAATGAGAGGAAAAACATCAAATATAGTGGTAGGAGCCTGGGCTTGGCATCAGAAGATCTGGCTTTGAGCCCAGATTCTCACCTTTACCATTCAAGAAAGTTTGGATTACTTCCTCTTTTCTTCTGAACTTTGTTTCCCAAATGTATAATATGGGTTAATAATACTGTTACATGTATTTCACAGAAGTGTGGCACAGATCAAATGAAATCATGTACATGAAATATTGTGTAAAATATGAAACATCAGATAAATAATGGATATTGCCATCAACAGTAATACTATGATTATGGTTATAGATTTCCAAAAGGAAAGAAAGTTTAAAATTAAAATAATTCAGCTGGGCATGGTGGCTCACACCTGTAATCCCAGCTCTTTGGAAGGCCGAGGTGGGAGGATCACAAGGTCAAGAGATCGAGACCATCCTGGCCAACATGGTGAAACCCTGTCTCTACTAAAAATACAAAAATATTTTTAAAAAAGAAAAGAAACAAATGAACAAAAAATACAAAAATTAGCTGGGCCTGGTGGCACACACCTGTAATCCCAGCTACTCAGGAGGTTGAGTTGGGATAATCACTTGAACCCGGAGGGTGGAGGTTGCAGTGGCCAGGATCGCACCATTGCACTCCAGTCTGGCAAACTAAGTGAGACCCCATCTCAAAAAAAATTTTTTTTTATTTAAAAAAATTAAAATAACTCACCAGAAAACTAGCCATTTCCTAGTTCAGGTGCCCAGTCTAGGATGTTGTATGTGAAAGCATATGACTTAAATGATATACCAACTAATTTCCAGTCCTTTTCTCATAGTAATGATAGTGTTCACTGAATTTAGTTGGTGAAAGTGCCCCTATATAAAAATTAGATAAATAAATGAGCTTACAGTTCATAAGGTACACTGTCTTCAAGACTTGCATTATCTGGTTTGTGTCATCTGTTCTTAAATAGTACACCACTTAATTTTCAGTATTTATACTGTAAAACACTCATTTTTATTCCCTTAGGATTCTCCTTGACACACAGAAACAACTAGTCATTCTTCTGCAATAAAACACAATATGTATGTGTATACATACTTTTCCTTAGTACTACAACAGCTTCAAAAGCTGGAATGAATCTCTAAAATGTCTAACTCCTAACCTTGACTATCAAAGGCCTATTATCACAGAAAAAAAATGCTAAGTTTTTTATCTTCATAAATGTATGAATACTCCATTTTTCTATTATCCTATGTGGCCCCAGGTGTAATTGTATAGTGTCTCTTTTTGCTGCTAAATGCTGCAATAAGATTCACATGCAAAAAGCTGTATCTCTAACCATTTAATAATATTTTTCCCCAGGAGAGTGATTCGATGATGGTGGATCCAACCAATGACATCCGGATTATAGGCTCTATCACAGTAGTGATTCTTCTAGGAATTTCAGTAGCTGGAATGGAATGGGAGGCAAAGGTAAATTTCTCAAAGATGATGTTATCAACAATGGCTGGTCAGGTCCTGAACAAATTGCAGGAGTAGAAGGAACCCTGTATTCAAAAAGAATTGCTGTTATTACCTGCTGTGGTGAAATGAGTAGGCAAGTGCTAGGTGGAACAACAAGCCTGCAAAGCACAAAACCCAAGCAGCCATGACTCAGGCTCCCAAGTCACATGACTGCTGTGTTTTATCTCTTTGTACTGTCATCAGGGTGGCCGCCTTATACCCAGACCCCTTATGATCACAGCAGTGGAGCCCGGTGGAAACCTGGGTCTCTCAGTCACAAACCCAGTTTCTCTTTCAAGCTGCCTGTGGGTGCAGAAGCCCAAGAGAAATGACAAGTGTGTTGGGAGAATATAAGAGGGTTTCTGTTCTGAAACCCAGTTCCTCACCAGCAAATGTGGGCAAATCATAGACTTTAGAACCAGAAAACCCGTGAGTTTAGTGATAAAATGGTTAGCAAATTTCTGAATGATGAGAAACATGTCTTTGCCTCCTTTGTAATTCCCTCAAGTGATTGGTGCAGTTGAAAATAATCCTACGTGCCTATGGATAAAGTAGCTAGATCTCAGGTGGTCATCAGGCCTAGGAAGACAGCCAAAGCCTCCCACTTGTATAAGTCAATAGAAAACATTCCTACATGGCATTTATTTGTAGATTATGCATTCACAATTTAACAGAAATTAAGTAAGTGCCTGCTACATGTTAAGCATTCTTCTAGGCACTAGATATTCACCTGTGACCAAAACAGGCTTAATCCTTATGTATGGTTGATGAAGAGATGAATAATAAGCAAGCAAATAAATAAATATAAAAAGATAATTTGTGAAAGGTAGAATCAACAAGACACTGTGATTAAAAAAAAAAAAAAAACCACACACACACAGGAGAACCCTGCTTTAGATAACTGTATTCCCTGAGTGATGCAGTGAAGTTTAGTAGCAGAAAAGGGTATTAAAGCTCCAGCTCTTTAGTTAGAGAGCCTGAATTTCAATCCAGTTTCTATCTCTGTGGTCTTCAGTAAATTATTTAAACTTTCGGTGCTTCAGCATCTTTATCTTTAAAATGAGGATAATAATAGTGCCTACTTCATAAAGCTGTCAGTTTGTTAATGGTATTATTTATGTAAAAGAATACAGGTACAGTTAAATCTGCATCTGTTCTATTGTAAGCCCTCAGTGAACAGATAACTGCTATTATTCACATTAAATGGGCCGGGCACAGTGGCTCACACCTGTAATCCCAGCACTCTGGGAGGCCAAGGTGGGTGGATCATGAGGTCAGGAGTTCGAGACCAACCTGGCCAACATGGTAAAGCCCTGTCTCTGCTAGAAATACAAAATTAGCCGAGCATGGTGGCATGTGCCTGTAGTCCCAGCTACTCAGGAGGCTGAAGCAGGAGAATTGGTTGAACCTGGGAGGTAGAAGTGCAGTGAGCCAAGATCGCACTATTGCACTCCAGCGTGAGCGACAGAGCGAGACTCTGTCTCAGGAAAACAAAATAAAATAAAATAATAAAATATAAAAGATTAAATGGTCAAGAAAGGCCTCTCTGAGGAGTAACTGAGATTTAAAGGATGAAAAGAAGGAAATGGCCATGCAAGGAATAGAGTGAAGTACTTTCCAGGTAAAGGAAACAGCGTATGGCAGCACCAAGCCATAAACACCTCGCAGCATTGGAAGGGCTGAAGGAAGACCATCTGGCCAGCTAACCTTGCAGACTGCTTGTGCTGAGCACACACCAGCAGCCTGCTGTCAAGTGCACTGGGCATCACAGGAATTCTATTCATCATTCTGCATACTCGAACCCCTGCAGTTAGCACTGGGAACAGAAACAACCCACAAGTGCTCTTCCAAAACAAACAAACAAACAAAACCCCCTCAAGTCTATCAGTGTTAAAACTTTTGGCTTCATTTACATTCCTGGGACAATGGTGGAAGTTACCCACCTGCTACTTAGAATGTTACGGAAATGTCACCTTCAAGTGCCCAAACCCATGCTCCATTCAAAATGAGGTGTATACATCCAAGTAGAATAAGGCCTATTTAGATGCCATTTTAATCAGGATGCACTTATTACCTGCTCTAGGTAGCAGAGACATAACTGAAATAATCAGATAGAGCCTTTCTGCAGTAGACACTTACAACTTTTATAATTATGTAAAAAGTTGTTTAATAAATCTAATTTGATTTCCTTTTACCTTGTTATTCCAGGCCCAAGTGATTCTTCTGGTCATTCTTCTCATTGCTATTGCAAACTTCTTCATTGGAACTGTCATTCCATCCAACAATGAGAAAAAGTCCAGAGGTTTCTTTAATTACCAAGGTACGTGGAACACATTGGCTGTTTTTCATTAAATGCTTCTCCATTGCCTTCCTCATCACCACCCCCATCACCCCAATGCCAGCCATCGGAATGTCTGGTTCTCCTCTCAAGCTGCCTGTGGGTGCAGAAGCCCAAAAGAAATGGCAAGTGTGTTGGGGCAACATAAGAGAGGCAAAAACTATCATTCTCTTCTGAAACCCAGTACTTCACCAGAAAATTTGGGCACACCATAGGCTTTCGAACCAGCAAATCTCTGAGTTAAACTAGTGATAATTAACTAGTGATAAAATGGATAGTAAATTTCTCCAGGGAAGAGCCTGGAGTTGGATTCAGGAGACACAAGGTTGGGTCTCAACACTGCCACTTACCAGCTGGACTGAACTCCTAATGTGACTGGGTTTCAGATTTTCCTGCCAAAATGATAATAAGAACTTCCTGAGGGAATGTTGAGAAACGAGTCAGACAGTGGATGTGAAAGTGCCTTGTAAATCTTTTGTTGTTGCTATCAAATAGTAGAAACAGAGAGACACAGCTCAATTTGTTCAACCACTGCAGAGTACCAAAGTCAAACATAGTCATTTCTTTCTTCCTGCTGGACTTGTTTGCACCTTGCTTTCCCATAGCATTACCCAGTTAAGCATCACTGTCAGGTTTTCAGGCAGAAAAGATTGTAGGAGTTACTTGGGGTAGCATCCTGTGACAACATCACTGAGCATGAAATTTGACTTCTTTTTCTTTTACTCCTTCTATCTGTTCTCGCCTGTCTTTCCCCTCTAGCTTCCTCAAGAATCCACTGCTGAGTTTTTAAATCTTTCCCTTCATTATTTACTCAGTTGTCAGTATTTGTTTCTTTTTGATATCACATACCTCTTTCTTCCTGATTCCTTTTCTTCATCAAGACTTTCCGGTTTGCTTTACATCTTAGCATCCTTTTCCTTTCTATTATTTTCCCTCCTTTGCACTCCTATCAGATCTTTTTCTTTAAGCCTTTTTTCCTATTTTTGCATCCCAGATTCTTTTGTCCACATTTTTCTTCCTCCTCTTTTCTCTTTTCTCCTTCTGTTGTTTTTCTAGGTTGTTTCCTTTCTATTTGAATAATTTGGTGACAACCTGTGGAATGGTATTATTTTATTAACAAAGCTCCTCAACATAATATTCACCCATACTGAGGATTTGATAGAAGCATCGAAGATCTCATCTCTCCAAGTGAAGAGTAAAAAGATTAGTACATTTGTAACAAAATTGTAAAGTAGATGCACCCACAAGGTTCTTCAACTACAAAAAAAGGCATAGAAAACCAGTGTGTTGATTGTTTATGGTACTGATAATGTGAGAATGTAGTTGTGTATGTGTGTGGATGTGGGTGGTGGTGTCATTGTGGGTATTCCGGGGTGGTTATGAGACAATTCTTCATCTTATCCTCTTTCAACCTTTTCTAGATGCAAAAAAGGCAGCCTGGATCTCTGTAGGCACAAAAATTGATTTTTCAGAGCTATGTCATAGAGATCTAAAACCTTATGATACGTATTTTGACTTTTGACAAATATTAACCTAAAGTCCTCAGGAGTACACCATATCTTCAAGTTCATTGCATTTAGACTATAGGATTGTGACTGGGCACTGTGGCTCACTCCTGTAATCCTAGCACTTTGGGAGGTGGATCACATGAGGTCAGGAGTTTGAGACCAGCCTGGGTAACATGGCAAAACCCCATCTCTACTAAAAATACAAAAAAATCAGCTGGGCATGGTGGTGGGCATCTGTAATCCCAGCTACTTGGCAGGCTGAGGCAGGAGAAGTGCTTGAACCCGGGAGGCAGAGGTCTCAGTGAGCCAAGATTGCACCATTGCATTCCAGCCTGAGCAACAGAGCAAGACTATAGGAATGTATTTGCATTTAGGGCTAGGGAAGCCAACAGTAACTTAATCTCCTACTCTATGAAAAATGTCTAAATGATAATTTTCTTATAATTTACGTTGCAGCATCAATATTTGCAGAAAACTTTGGGCCACGCTTCACAAAGGGCGAAGGCTTCTTCTCTGTCTTTGCCATTTTTTTCCCAGCAGCTACTGGGATTCTTGCTGGTGCCAATATCTCAGGAGATTTGGAGGTATGTTGTTTGCTCTGCTTTGCAGTCCTGGGAGATGGTGGTGCAGTTGGTGGGTAGCACAAAAGCTAGAGAGGTTAAATGTGACCGTATTACCCTAAAGATTTGATCTGTAGGTTTCTGCAAGATTTCCTGATGATTTGAAAGTTCTCTCTTTTAATGCCATATTTGGATTTCTATTCCAGATAATGCTTCCAAAAGCCTTATTCAGTGATATCAGAAGAACAGAGTAGTATGATAGTGTGACATATTTTCCCCAAATAAGTATAGTTCAGTGAAAAAATACCAAAACCACCCTTTCTCTTTTAAACCCCAATGAATGAGAATATGAAACATTCCCATAAAAGTGAAAACAAAACAAAACAAAGGAAAGGAAAATAATTACATTTTCACTTAGCATCCCACTCATTTGGTGTGAAATACTGCAAAGAGTCTGGTATGAATTAGGATATGGGAATATTATAAAAGGACCAGCAACAGTGGCCTAAACAAGATGCAGGTTTTAATGTACAAAATCTAGCTCAGTTGGGCACAGTGGCACACATCTGTAGTTCCAGGCACTTGGGAGGCTGAGGTGGGAGGACTGCTTAAACCCAGGAGTTTGAGGCCAGCCTGGGCAACATAGCAAGACCCTGATCTTTAAAAAACCAAAATATAAATAAAATTTTTATGTTAAGTCATGCCCAGAGGCTATCCAGGGGAATAAGAAAGTTCTGCTCCGAAAGGTAGCACAGGAACCCAGATGACCTCTCTTGTTTCACTATTACTTTGTGGCTTGCCCTTCATCTGCAAGATCACATTCCAGTTCATAGGAAGCAGGATAAGCATGTAGATGGCAAGCAATTCCTAGAACTTGCATGTATTGTCCCTGCTGACATTCCATTGGCCAGAATTTAGTCTTGTGGCCTTACCTAGTTGCAAAGGAGGGTGGGAAATGTAATCTCTATCTGGGCAGCCATGTGCCCAGATAAAATTTTAGGGAATTCTAGTATTAAAAGGAGGAAAGTGAAAATGTATATCAGGTGACAATAAGCCATTTCTACTACACACCACACAAAGTAGAAGACCCAGGTTTTACCTCAACAAATTTATGATCAACTTTGGAAGACAAGAAATATTTTCAAGACTCATCAAGAAATATACATACATGAAAACCATATGCATTGTCCAAGTGAGATGTGAAACAAAAATACTGAACAAATAATTGTTAAGTTAATCAGGGATGATTTTCTCAAGGAACTAACCTGTGAACCTGAACATAAAGCAAAGGCTGGATGCTGGCTATGGATGAAGAAATACAGAGTATTCCAGGCAGAAAGAATAGTCAGACGTGAGAAAACTGGGAACAGTGAGAAGTGTTTGACAGTTCAACTAAAGAAACCCTGATGGGGCTCAGTCACCTTGAAGGCAAAGGGAAACAGCTGTTGGATGGACTTGAGCCAGAGGTGCTTGCCCTGGAATATAACTCCATGAAAGTAGAGACTTTGCCTTTGATTTTGTTCATTGCTGTATCCTCAGAGCTAGTAAAGCCTCAATAAATACTGAGTAAATAAATAAAGGCATTTAGACTTTTTATGTTAGGGGCCACAGTGCTGTGGTAAATTCTCCATCAGAAATATGGTATAAACATATTGTGCTGAAGTGCAGAAAGTTAAGAAACTTGTTCAAAATGATTCAAGTAGTATCGCTGCTGCATGAAATTTAGCTGTGGATGTTGAACTTCTGGTTTCTCAGCTTTGGAAGAGTATCAGAAGTCATTGATTTAAATTTCTGCAAACTCTACACACACCTTTAAATTAAAGACTATTGTTCTTTCTTTAGACTCCCCGAAAACTAATTTGTATCATATGTTTAGTAGTCAGTTCAGATTAGCTGGCGCTCACTGAGTGCCTGTTCATACCAGGTACTGAGGAAATAAGGAGCTTCACCCCTCCCTCAAGGAGCTCATAGTCGAAGGGGGAGACAGACTTCCCTTACATGAATTAGAGCAAACAAGTAGAATCAAGAGCAAAGGAAAGAGGAAGCCACAATTTCCTGTTTCTTCAGAAGAGGGGATACTCAATCCAGATTTTGAGGGATGAACAGGAGTTTGCCAACAGGACAAAGAAGAGAGGGACATTTGGAACAGAAGGAATGGGATTTTGTTTTAAAGGCACTGAGAGAGTTGCTGCTAATGAGAATTATTGTATGTGCAGAGTGGGGTATGTAATTCTTCATCAATACATTAATAAACATACTTACAAAGAATTTTCTATGTGCCCTACGTACTCTGGGAGTAAACAAAGAAAAGAGATGATATTACTTCTGCCTGAAAAGACAAAACTTAAAATTCCTCTCTCTCAAAATAAGTGTTAACTTGATTTAGGGTTGTTACGTTAGTGAAGAACTGTTTATTTATTTAGCAGCCTCTACTGAGAAATCTCTTGATATTGAGTTCATATGTAAAAAACTACAGAGAAAGGCCTGTTACAATTTTAGGTGCATACATGATCATAATATTATTGTAGAATGTTTCATTCTTTTTATTTAAAAATATTTTTACGGTTTTATAATTAAGGTTAACTTTTAACACATACACTACTGTATACTCTATACTTTTACTCTATACAGAACTCAGGAGTCCTTTTAACTACAGATGTAGAATTTGGATATTATCCCCCAACTAGCTAGAGACTCTGAGGAGGTTAGACAAAGGGGTAACATGATTAAATATGTGTTTTAGAGAGAACCTGCTAACAGCTTGTGGAGGGTGGATTGGAAGGTGGGGAACGGGTGTAATAGGTATAAAGACTGGAGGCAGAAAGACCAATTAGAGAATATCATAAGGGTCTGGACAAGAGATGACATGGGCCTGATTTAAGGCCATGCAGAGGACAAGAACCAAAGATGTCAGCTTTTGCTAAAGTTAGAGAAAAGGAAGTAGAAAAAAAAAAGTTTTTTTACTATGATCCACAGTAAGAAAATATTATATATCACAACCAAGTGCACACTTAGAAAAATTTCCCCAAACAGTTCCCTGCTTTATTGCAAGCAATGCCTTCTGATATTCTCACATCAGTTCTGTTGTATTCTTTTAATGCTAGTTGTAACCTGTTGAATTGATTCCACAGTATAGTGGATGAGGAAAGGAAGCTCACATTTGTCCATTGAGGTTGAAAATGGCAGAAGGACATGGGGTGGCAATGTCTAGTGAATGGGTAGCTAGATTTATGAGTCTGGAGCTCTGAAAGGAGCTAGGGCAGGACTGGCAGCCATGACATGGGTGAGTTCATGCAGGTATCTGCAAAAGGGAAGAGGGAGGCAGTTTCAGGCAGCATGGAGGGAGACAGACATTCAAAGTATTAATGGTAGAAAGTGAGTCCATGAAGAAAAAAGAGGCAGAGCTGAGAAGTAGAAGAAATCAAAAGACAATGGAGTCATGAAAATCAAGAGAGAAGCCTACTTTGAGAGGTAATAACATGGCCACAAGCCAGAGTGTCCAGGAATGTTAAGCTCTGGGAGGCGACGATATGTTGGGAAATGGGGAGGAAACTTCAGTACTTGTAGATACTATTTCTCTCTGAAAGTGAGACTAGAAACAAAACATAATGGATTCAGTTCAATTTAGAAAACATTACTGTTTGCACACTATACGGTAGGCAGGATCCTGAGCCCTGCTCACAGCCTCAGAATCCCTCCGGAAGGCACTTCAGTCTGCCAATGGCACAAGGGCATGCTACAAAGCTCCCTTCCAGAATCTTATATTTGCTAATAACACACTAACAGGCAATTTCTAAATAAGTACCTGGGAGAAGATTCAGAAAATACCCAAGTCTAATCAAGAAAGCTAAGAAGTGATTTCAGAGAAGCAAAATTAGGATGTAATTGATATACCCAAAAAGCAGGGATCTAATAGATTGCTTGTATTCTGTCCTAAGGAAAAATACAATACTTAATGAGAAAAGGTAAAGAAGGTTAGATTTTGGGTTATTGCTTGTGGATGGAAACTACATTTCAAGTGAAAACCCGATAATTTGTCCAAGTCCTCCTGAGCCCTACCTAGGGGAAAGCTAACCAGACCAGACAATGTAAATATATGACCATACACTAATGTGTTGGCATCCAGATTTCTGTGTTAATGTCTTTGGATAATGGCTGGGCATGGTGGTCCAAGCTTGTAAACTGAGCACATTGGGAGACAAAGGTGGGCCAATGCTAGAGACCAGCCTGAGCAACATGACAAAACACCGTCTCTACAAAATACAGAAAGAAATAGTTGGGCATGGTGGTGTGCACCTATCATCCCAGGTGCTTTGGAGGCTGAGGTGGGAGGATCACTTGAGCACAGGAAGGTTGAGACTGCAGTAAACCTTGATTGAGCCACTGTTCTCCTGCCTGGGCAACAGAGTAAGAACCTGTCTCAAACAAACAAACAAATAAATAAATAAGTAAAATCAGTCTTAGAGTCACGACTGACTCTCATGTGACTTCTGTTAAGTCATTTTAGAGATTGTAGCAGATAGATTCAAATAAAAGCTAAGTTTTTGGGGTGTTTGTTTTGAGATGGCATCTCTCTCTGTCACCCAGGCTAGAATGCAGTGGCACAATCTCGGCTCACTGCAAACTCCACCTTGAAGTGTAAGTGATTCTTGTGCCTCAGCCTACCAAGCAGCTGGGATTACAGGCACACACCACCACATGCAGCTAATCTTGTATTTTTAGTAGAGATGGGGTTTTGCCATGTTGGCCAGGCTGGTCTTGAACTCCTGATCTGAGGTGGTCTGTCCACCTTGGCCTCCCAAAGTGCTGGGATTACAGACGTGAGACACAGCACCTTGGCAAAAAGTAAGTTTTCATGTTTTAGGTACAAAACTGCCTTCCATCTTCACATCTCTTATCCATATATATATATATATATATACACATATATATATGTGTGTATATATATATAATACGCTATATTTTTTTCACTCTTTCCACTGTCAGTTCTTTACATTTTACTCAGATCTCAAGAAATTCTTCATCAACAAAGCAAATTTTGGAACATAACGTGAATTGGGGGGATTCAGTTGGTCCCATCTCAGCATGATTGCCTTCTTTTTCCTTCTGTGTGCTGCCCCATTGCACACACCTGTCACGCTGGCAACAATAGTTTGGAAGGAAGAGAGTGGGTATTTATGTCTCAGAACAAACCGTGGTGCAGATTTTCCTAGAAGAGTGGGGAGGAATTAATGATCACAGAGTGGTTCCGTAGGGCTGGCTTACTGCCATGTGGGGCAGATTTGCTTGATTCAGTTGTGGCTTCCAGTTGTCAAGTTGCATCTACATTCACTATGCGTGACCTTTTTGATGGATTGTTCACATATTTAAGTTTTCTTTTTCAAACACAAACTTTGTTTGACTGTATTGATTGCTTATTTGTATTAAGGAGTCTAACGTGCTCTGGTGGGGGGACTCATGCCTGCTGAGATTGTCCTTCTTCAATTCAATATGTATTGACTCCTGCTATATGCCAGGCACTGTCCTGTATAAGTGAAGACATTAAAATTTCTATTTAATAATTCCTAATAAGTCGAATACAGTTCAATATGCTACTTAAAAATTGATTTGCTATGATTTAGCGCCCCCCACAAATAGGATATAAAATGACAAATTAAATATGATGTGAACTCAACTCAGTGAATGTATATATACTTATAAGCAAGAGAAAAGCCCATTTTCTGGTATAAACTTGAACTTCCCTCTTTCTTTATGCCTGCTTATGAAAATTAAATATCTCCCATTGTAGATATTTCTGAACTAGATTCCAAATAGGGAATTTAAGGGATTGAAGAATTCAGTAAGTAGATCATCCTTTTTGCTCAGTCAAAAGTGATTTTTTTAAAGGCAAGCTTATGCTCAGTATAAAACAAATACACACAGAGATATCATCAACATGCCAGGTATGTTAGTATATTTTCCCCTACAACTTCAAGACATGATACATCTAAATGAAATTTATACGACATGAGGAGAAGGAGGAGGCCTTGATGAGTGAACTACCTACTGTATTTTTCTATAGAAACTTCCTTCTGGACAGTTAGAGATCTCTTCTGTTCAGCTGAAAATTTTACAGGTTTCTTTATTCACTCTGTACACCTTGTCTTTGTCCATAATAAAACTCAAGCCCATCAACTTGCCATTGGTTTTATCTTTTCTTAGAACTTGCCTCAGGAAGGCTAGCCTAAAAATCTGAAAATATGAAAATAACTGCAAGTGATCTCTGGTTCTTATTCTGCTCTGTATTCTTCTACCTCCACATTATTTTTAAAGGATCCCCAGGATGCCATCCCCAGAGGAACCATGCTGGCCATTTTCATCACCACTGTTGCCTACTTAGGGGTTGCAATTTGTGTAGGTAAGTGGTACATCTCTAGTGTAAGAATGTCAGAATCATGAGGGGTCCAGTTATTCACGTCTAGTGGGCTTTCAATGGAACGTAAGTGCAAAGTTTTTTTAAAGGCAGCAATTTTAATTCCTTCTTGGTACCTTAATGTTAATGGTTTGGATGCTTTAGGGATTTGAAGGCAATTAAGCTGTAATACAGGCATCTCTGGGTCAGGGCTTGAGTAAAGCTAATCATGTTGTCATTCTACCTGCACACAAAGAGGGTCCCATTTTACTATCCTTGATTATAATCCCACTGCTAAGGAGGCTACCACTTCCAGCATACACTTCCTTTGTTCTAGGAGGCAGGAGAGAAACAGAATAGAGAAAAGAAGTGAAAAACAAAACCATTTAAACTTAAAAACAGCCTGAGGAAAGTATGAAAGATATGGAATTTGTGACTGTGTCTCATTCTTGCACTGCTCTCCCTAATCTGGAAATGTCACTGTCACCAACTGGCAGAAAATCAGAACAAGACCCAGCTGTTAGCAGTGTGGGCAGCCAGCCCCTACATTGTTCAGTGAACAGAAAATATGTGTGCTCACCGGCTGTTCCTGAGGATGAGTTGGGTTCCACCTGCTGCCTGCAGCCACACCTCCTCCTGGTCAGGGGCTGCCTCCTACTTTTGCCATAGTAGGAGAGGAAGAAATGTGGTTTCCCAACATTTAGAGAAGAAACCCATCTTTTGTGTACAATAGGGAAAACAGCTCCAGGCTGGACCACTGTGGAGGCCAAAGGGCACATCCCAGTCCTCTTCCGCTTACTGTAAGAGAAATGAGAAGGTGCATGTACCCACAATTGGTTTCTGGATATAAAAGCAAAAACTGAACATAAATCCTTCCCGGTCTCACTGTCTCTAATCTGAGGAAATTTGACAACTTTGTTAAAAGTATTGTTGGGGCTGGGCACAGTAGCTCATGATTGTAATCCCACTAATTTGGGAGGCTGAGACCAGAGGATTGCTTAAGCCGAGGAGTTCAAGACTAGCCTGGGCAACACAGTGAAACCCCAGCCCTACAAAAAATAAAAAATCAGCCAGGAATGGTGGCATACGCCTATGGTCCCAACTACTTGGAAGGGTGAGGTGGGAAAATTGCTTAAGTCTGGAAGGTCAAGGGTGCAGTGAGCTGTGATCACATCACTGCACTCCAGCCTGGGCACAGACTGAGACCATGTGTCAAAAATAAATAAATAAATAGTTACATAGATAGATGAATTGCTGGGGCATGTCCAAGTTTAGTTACATGTACAGATTTTTTTGTTTCATTGCTTTAGGTAATCACATTTTTTTAATGATATTGAAACCACTTAAGTTAAATTTCTCAAAGAGTTTTCTTTTTTACTGCAGTTAAAGTGAGGGAATGAGTAAAGTTATAGATCTGATTTCAGAGTTTCTGGTTTTGCCCCTAATGGGTAGAAAAATAAGCATTTCTACACTTTCCCAGCATAGGAGGATAGTCATGGAGTGAATGTCCTGTCATTAGTACAAATAATGGCTCGTGGCCGGGCTTCATGGAAATTTTGAGAGATCTATTATGGAGAGGTTAAAATACATGATTCAAAGAATTCAGTTCAACACAAATGAACAATGCAAACAGGTAAACTTTGAATGAATAGTTTGACTTTATAATCAACATCCATGATTTCCAGCATTCAAGTAGAGGCTGGCAGGCTCTCAGGACTCTAATAAAAAGAATCCCTGCAAGGATTCTTTTAAATGGCTCTTTCAAATAGAATATTCTCTGATTTTTTTTAAGTCTCCCAAATTCAAAGAATGTGGATTTCACGGCTAAGATTAAGGAATCCCATTCATTCCTGTCACTGGGACCTGTCTTAAAGGTATTAGCAAGGCATGAGAACCCACCCTGGGTAGAGTTTGAAAAGCAAAGCAGTTTTATTGGTTGATATTTAGTTTGTAAAGTATTTATCCTTCATGTAGTTCAGAAAAGTTGACATATTCTTTACACATATATTCATATATTTCAAAAATCCTATGAAATACATAATGGCAAAGATTAGTTAGAAAAAATTATAAGAGAAAGCTTTATTCACATTAAGGCTGTGTGAGCACAATAAGGATTGGTGAGCACAGGGAGAAGTAAAAGTGATTAAAATATATACCAAGGGTCTTTTAAATGGCCACAATACCATTTTTAAGAGTCTATCCTAGGAGAAAAAGCTTATACGCAAAGATGTTCATCATAGAATTCTTAGCATAGAAAATAACATATATTCAAATTAATGAAAATAATGGAATAGATCAACTGAGATAGATATTTGATCAATAATATTTTACCCTTACCTAGGAAATCTGAATATTGTATTCTAAACCATTTTCTTTATTGTTTAAACCATTAAAATTGCATATAATATAGAACTGTAACTCTGTTTTATAAATTATGCAAGGAGTATCATTAGTTGAAAATAAGGGCTGCATTCTCTTAATTGCTATAATAGAATTCCGTAATGCCACCCCTTGGTTCTCTTGCAGATGAGGAAATAAATCCTTCTACTTGAAAAATATCTGGTCGGTAGTACTAAGCCAGACATATGTATTGAGTATGTATTATGTACAAAGCACTGCCATATAAGTTTTAAGAGATCAGAAATTAAGACTCACTGTCAACTACCAAGTCTCTTACCACTCAAATCGAAGTCACAAGAGGTGGCTGATATGGCAGCCTGTTAAGAAAATGAGAAACCCTGGGACTCAGCAGATGGGAGCCTCCAGTTACCAAGAATTAGTCACAGTGAACAGAGGCTAAGAAATGGACCTGTTCAGACTCAAAGTAAACTATGTTTCCAGAAGAAAACCCTAAGGGACCAGAACCTTATAAAGAAATAACAAGCCACGTTTTTTTCCACAGGGGCCTGTGTGGTCCGAGATGCCACTGGGAATGTGAATGACACCATCATTTCTGGGATGAACTGCAATGGTTCTGCAGCGTGTGGGTTGGGCTATGACTTCTCAAGATGTCGACATGAACCATGTCAGTATGGGCTGATGAATAATTTCCAGGTTTGAAGCAAAATTTTGAAAAGTTCATTGATATTATTTTATTTTTAGAATGTCTTATAGAGTAAGACTTTTTAATCTGCAATGGATTGATTATTGACTGACAAGAACCCAGCAAGGAATGACTCATATGGGAGGGAAAGGAATCATATAGGCATTGTGTGGTAGCAAATCCTATGGTTACATTTACTGTGGTGGGGAGATAATAGGCATTCGGATGAATTGCATCACCAGGGAGAGGTCATCTCCTGTCACCACACGTCTTCCTATCAGTTGTGCAAGATTTCATGGTGGAAAGGAACTTAGATTAGTTAGCACTTGGAATGTATTTCTTTCTTTTATAATTTTAGGTTTTTTCTAGATTCAAGGAGTATCCTATATGTGCAGATTTGTTACATGAGTGTATTGTGTGATGCTGAGATTTGGGGATATGAAAGCAGGTAGCCTCTGTTCACTGTGAGTAGTTCACCCAGGTACTAAGCATAGCACTCAATAGCTAGTTTTCAACCATTGCCATCCTCTGTCCCCAGTGTCTCGTTACCACTTTATGTTCATGAGTACTCAGTGTTTAGCTCCCACTTATAAGTGAGAACACGTGGTATCTGGTTTCCTGTTCCTGTGTTAGTTTGCTTAGGATAATGGCCTTTAGCTGTATCCATGTTGCTGCGAGGAACATGATTTTCTTTTTGTGTCTGTAATATTTCATGGTGTATATGTATCACATTTTCTTTGTATAATCCACCATTGATGGGCATCTAGGTTGAGTCCATGTCTTTGCTATTGTGAATAGTGCTGCAATAGACATACAAGTGCCTGTATCTTTTAGGTTGAATGATTTATTTTCTTTTGGATATATACCCAGTAAAGGATTGCTGCAGTCAAGTGATAGTTCTGTTTTAAGTTCGTTGAGAAATCTTGGAATGCATTTCATACAAGGCCAACAGCTTAGACAAAGCCTTTGAGGTGGCCCTGGAGAGCCTGAAAGACAAGGCTGAGAGAAAAATTGTGAGTGCCAGACGGGAGGTAAATAAGAGGGAAAGAACAATGGAAGTTAGAAAAACTAAGACTTTAAACATATTAATTTGTCTTCATGATTGGTGAGCAGAGGGAGAAGTAAATTTGTTGTGAATGCTTCATTCTTTGTTTTAATAACCCACGAAGAGAAATTAACTCAGCTGAAGTCATTATTCCAAAATATGACTTAAATTGATAGAATCACATCATGTCTCAGAGGTAAATTATGCTTAATGAGCACAGAAGTAGCAAAGGTCTAAAAGGCCTCTGTGTGCAAGAAGAAGAAAAGTTAATGGCTGTAAAAAGACTAGTAAAGAGCTGAGCCCTTCCCCAAACCTTATTAGAATACTACTTTCTGCTGGAAAGAATTCCCCATCATCAAAGAAACATATAACCACAAAGAACAGAGAAAAAAAGGTCAAAATCCTTGAAACCATTTTCTTCTTTATTCTTTCCAGTATCTTCTGGATATATTGTGGTGAGCATTTATTATCTTATAAATAACCAAAAAAGCCATTTCTATTTAAAAAAATAAAATAAAATGAAGAATGTGAGAATGGGCTGAGCATGGTGGCTCACACCTGTAATCCCAGCCCTTTGGGAACCCAAGGAGGGCAGATCACTTGAGGTCAGGAGTTTGAGACCAGCCTGGTCAATGTGGTGAAACCCCATCTCTACTAGAAATGCAAAAATTAGCCAGGCATGATGGTGGGTGCCTGTAATCCCAGTTACTCAGGAGGCTGAAGTATGAGAATCGCTTGAACCTGGGAGGCAGAGGTTGCAGTGAGCCAAGATCACACCACTGCATTCCAGCCTGAGTGATAGAGGGGACTCAGTCTCAAAAAATAAAAAATGAAAAAGGAATGCAAGAATGAAAATGAAGCAGAGGAAAAAAAAAATCTATTTAAAAGCAATTTGCTTATGCAACAGATTCCTCAGAAAGTCTCCTGACTTGTACCTCTCCTCTCAAGGTCATGAGCATGGTATCAGGGTTTGGCCCCCTCATCACTGCAGGAATCTTTTCTGCAACGCTCTCCTCCGCCCTGGCCTCCCTTGTCAGCGCACCCAAAGTGTTCCAGGTAATACAAGCACAACAGCTTGTGCTTCTCCCTATTGCTGTTTCCACAGAATGTGAATCAAGCTGAAATACTCATTCTCACTGGCAATCATTTTCCATCATTTTCTGAAACAGTTAATGTTTGCATCTGGCTCAAGTGCTATGTCTGCCACATAGTCAAGATCGATTCAAATAATATAAAGAATGATAAACTGCAGTGTTAACTTGTGCCTCATCTCGTGTATCACTTAATCTTTCCCCAAATCTTCTCGTTTGAATCACCTAGAGAAAATGACTGTGCATAGCTGTAAATGACAAATTTCTCCTCTTCTTTTCCATTAGGCTCTGTGCAAGGACAACATCTACAAAGCCCTGCAGTTTTTTGCAAAGGGATATGGGAAAAACAATGAACCCCTGAGAGGATATATTCTCACTTTTCTTATAGCCATGGCATTTATTCTTATTGGTTTGTAAATTTTTCTTGTTTTTATTGAAAACCAGAGAGTTCTTCTGATTATTTATAGGGCTTTCCTTTTAGCATGAAAAATTGACCTGTTTTATGTTTAGGATCCCATTTGGGAATATTGGCATCTAAGAAGGAAATGAGAAATCCTTGTGTGTAGAGGGCCTTTGTGGAACTCAGGGTAGACAGGGTTTTAATCTATTCTTTGAATCTGAGTGTTGGAAATCCATCCAACCAAATGCAGCTGAATCCTTCCTCCGACCTGACTGAAATTGTCCAAATCTAGACATAGATGCTTCTGCCTTATCTACCGTCCTGATGGCTAGCAGAATTGAATTGCCTATGTTAGTGTTCCTCAAACTGTGGTTCACTGACCATCTACATCACAATCACCTGGGGTGTTTGGGAAAGTACAGAGACTTCAGGCCCAATTCTAGAGTAACGAGAGTCAGACTCTCTGAGGATAAGGAGTCCACATTTCACAAGCTCCTCAAGAGATTCGTAGACCACTGGTATTTGAGAACCACTTACCTAGACTATAATCTCTGCTTCCTCTCCTCAGGTGATATAAAAACAGCTACATAGTCTTGGAGAGGCACATTCACCAACTTTAATTTGCACATTTCTCACTCTTCCCTAAGGCCTCACCTTTGCTGATGAGCATATCAGAGGAAAAGAAGCAGAAGGCAGAGGGCTTTGGGAGCCACACATAAGTGAGCAGAGACTTCCTCAGCGCAGCAGTGCCGAGCAATGAGGGCTCCTCCTCGTTACATATTAAACTCAGGAAGTGGCTATAATTCATGAATCCTCATAGCATTTGAATGACGCTGAAGAGGGGACTTTGTCTCTCTCTGTTAGATTTTTAAAAATTAAATTAAAAGTGATTATATAAAGAGATGTTTCAATTATGTAATTTAGTCTTTAAGATCCCAAATCATTACCCTGTGCTGCATTTACATGAGAAAGTAACCAAAGTTTTAAAAGTTTTGGGTAAATTGAAATAACATCCTTTAAAATCGCTCTTTCAGAACAAGTGGATTGGCTCCACGCATAAGCTTCATGGCAGCTGTTTTGCCTACTTTCTTGTTGGTATTCATATTCCAGAATCACACCCAGCTGCCTGCATTTGCATCATTGTATCATTTGCATCACTGAGGGTGCTAGAGATCTGACGTTCAGATAAAGGATAACATCTCTATGTTTTTTCTTATATTGCCCAGTAAAAAATCCAGCTAGAATTAAATCATACCAGATATTTACTCACTGAGGCAAAAGTATTTTGGGGCTGGGTGCAGTGGCTCATGGCTGTTAATCCCAGCACTTTAGGAGGCTGAGGTGGGCAGATCATGAGATCAGGAGTTCAAGACCAGTCCAGCCAACATGGTGAAACCTTGTCTCTACTAAAAATATAAAAATTACCTGTGTGTGGTGGTGGGCGCATGTAGTCCCAGCTACTAGGGAGGCTGAGGCAGGAGAATTGCCTGAACCTGGGAGGCAGAGGTTGCAGTGAGCCGAGATCATGCCATTGCACTCCAGCCTGGGCGACAAGAGTGAGATTCCATCTCAAAACTAATAATAATAATTAATAATATTTTTGCTACCCCTGAGAGGTAGAACTCTCTAGAGATGTGGAAAAGTTATGAATGACAAAGAGTCCTGAAAATCAGAGAGCATATATTGGGTCTAGGCAGGGAGAGTTCCACAGGGAAGTTTTCGGTGCACTGGTATTTAACTAATATCCTGCAAAGCCTATTTATTGTATACATAGCAGTTAAAGAACACAGGATTAGATGCTTCCAAAAAAGCTACAGGGGAATTAATTGTATGCCCAGTCTCACAGCTACCCATTGCCAGGTGAACTTTTTGTAGGTAGAGGTCTCGATTGTCTATTTTCTGATGGGTAGGCTTTTTTATTTCTTACTTTATGGAAACCCTAGCTAAGAGTATGTATGTAGCCCCCAAAGAAAAATGACTAACTTCTTAAACTTTGACAGATGCTCGCTATGTTTTCAATTTCCAAATAAAGTCAAGCTTCCAGACTATAACAGCTGTTCAGCCCCTGGTCTCATCACTCATACGTACATGTTCAATTCTGTTTCTTTTACAGCGGAACTGAACACCATTGCTCCCATCATCTCCAACTTTTTCCTGGCCTCATACGCACTTATTAATTTCTCCTGCTTCCACGCCTCTTATGCCAAATCTCCAGGTAAGCTTACTTCCAAAACTAAAATATGCCTAAACAAACAGTTAGTTTGTCTCAATAAAATGAAATAAGTCAGTGAAAAGCGTTCAATCTGTGTTTATGTTTCCTTATATCCTAGTGTGAAGCATAAGCCACTTTATTTTGGTGAGTTTGGGGATGATTTTTGAAATAGAAAAAGAATCATTTGAGCAATGGCCTTTTTGACCAACCGTAAAGTCAATTTTCTCCTGTGGTAATAAATTATTCATTGCAAGAGAAACCACATTTATTTCAGCAGTAGAAAAACACCACTATTTATTTCCAGAGTGAAAGTGACCACGGAAGTGGAATTAATGTATATATTTGAAACTTCCTTACTATCAATTTGTTTCCTGCCCATGGTGCAGAAGAGAAGGATGAGCAGTCCCTGTAATTACCTGCTGAGTGGAGGCGATGCAGATAGGCTGCATTGATGCTGGTGGCGCCAAGACCTCCTTTGGGCTGTGGTTTAAAGTTGCTCAAAACTTCACACCAAAGAACCTTCCCCTTTCTAGTCACTCCTCACCTCTTTTTGCTTCCATTGTCCACTTCAGTTTCTTCTGCCTTCCTGCCAGAATGGAGACTTGTCATTATCTACCTTCAGAAAGTTCTCCACCTTGAGGACTTTTATGGGATGTGTAAACACATTTCCACTCATTTAGAGTCTGACAGGATCTTAAGCCTCCCTTGGAAAACTTGTTTCCAATAAGACACATGGAAGACTAACCTTAATCTAACCAATACTAGGCTACAGAAAGTAGCAGAGGACTTTTGTTTCCTTGTGTGTTTTCTTAACACAGAAATGTGTGACTCCATGCCATGTGATGGCCACTTTTGAAAAATAAGGTGAAATAATAGAGGTATTATTTATGTGAAAAACAAGTGAAAAGGAGAATGGGAAAGAAAAGGCGGGCGGGAATATAGAAAAGCATATAAAGAAAGACACGTGGATATCCAAACCCAGATAATGTCTGCCCACTGCCCCCGCCCCCCAACACACACACACACACACACACACACACACACACACACACACACACGAAGCCAGGCTCAGAAAAATAAAGCAATTTTCAATGATGTTCTTGAAGTGCTATTTCCATCTTGTGGCCATTTAGAAAATTGCTTCCTAACACTTAAAGTTCTGTTGTGTTTCAGCAACTCCTAATTAAATGTGCCCCTTCATTAACGAAAGGCACCCTTCAAATCGGAGCTTTTCCCTCCTATCCATACTGTCTTTCAGTTACTTTCACTATAGGGAACTAAGAGAACACAGAAAACCCACACGCATGCGTGCACTGTGAGAAATGTTTTCATTGCAAAATGCATGACATATTCATACTTTGGGTTTAACAAGCCTTTGCTAGCCACTGGGTTTTAAAAGCCATTTCTCCCTCTTTTTCCATCAATTATTATTTCTGAAAGGGCAACCCCTGTCCTCCTAGGGTAATGGAAGAGCTACCAGAACGTCAAGCAGATTGACTCTTGATGACTTCTCTGCCTTCTCCATGGGAGCAAAAAGCACATTGCCTTCACTTTTTCTTTCTTAGACAGCCAAGAAGTTTCTCCTCCCCACCTGACAAGCCCCACTCTTTCCCTTCCTCCTGCCTCTTTTCAGTTCCTGAGGGCATAGATACCAGATGCTTAAGATTTGGGAGTTTGGGAAGACATTCGGGGGCAGAAAGTATGGAAGGTCCTGAATGGCACACTTTTCAGATGCTTAACATTTCCTAAACTTTACAGCATTCTATTTGGTGTAAGCAGCATCTTCATAGAGCAGGGATCCAATATCATAGGAAAATAATAACAGAGTTTGGAAATTGACTTAAAAGTTCTGATGCTTTGTGTCAGGAAAAAGACTTGTTACCTGCATTCTTATCGTATTCAGTGGCCTGATAGTAGTAGAGTGGAAGTTTTCCTTCGGCATTTTTTTTTTTTTTTATTTTCAGGATGGAGACCTGCATATGGAATTTACAACATGTGGGTATCTCTTTTTGGAGCTGTTTTGTGCTGTGCAGTCATGTTTGTCATCAACTGGTGGGCAGCTGTGATCACCTATGTCATTGAATTCTTCCTCTATATCTATGTGACTTATAAGAAGCCAGGTAAGATCATAAGGACTGTATGGAATAGCATTTCCAATTCTCTCTCTACTCATTTATTAAGCATTTATGGAGCAGCTTTTATGTGCTTAAGTGAGGTTTATGTAAGGTGGGATATTAATAATATCTTGCAATATAATAATAATAATAGCTAGGGTCAGGCGTGGAGGTTCACACCTGTAATCCCAGCACTTTGGGAAGCCAAGGCAGGCAGATCACAAGGTCAGGAGTTCAAGACCAGCCCGGCCAATGTGGTGAAACTCTATCTCTACTAAAAATACAAAAATTAGCCGGGCTTGGTAGTGGGCACCTGTAGTCCCAGCTACTCGGGAGGCTGAGGCAGGAGAATCACTTGAAACTAGAAGCTGGAGGTTGCAGTGAGCTGAGATCAGGCCACTGCACTCCAGCCTGGGCAACAAGAGCAAAACTCTGTCTCAAAAAAAAAGAAAAAGTAATAACAATAGTTAACCTTGTTGAGCACTTGTTATATACTTTACACTCATTCAATCTTCAAAATACTGTTAGTCCCATTTTACAGATGAGGAAACTGGGGTTGAAAGAATTGCCAAAGTAATAATTGGGATGTGATGGAGCTGACCATATACCCAGAATGTGTATGATACCGAACCAACCCGACGAACTTTCTGTTACATCACTTTCTGTTTCTGATGTCCTGATAAATTAGATACAGTTCGTGTCTTCAAGGAGTTCACAGAGTCACACTTAAGGAATTAATTATGATACAGTAGAGTAACCACCGTGAGAGTGATATGAGCAAATTGCTGAGAAAGCGGGAGAGAAGGGTTAACTTTGACTGGAGTTATTCAGGAAAACTTTCTGGTTCCTAACTTATGTTCACAGAGTCAACACCCAGTGGACATTTAACCAATATTTTTTAAATGAATAAATAAATTAGTTTTTTTTTTTTAAAGCAAGCAACTGAGGTTTGGTTAATCAGAGTCAGGGAATGATATTCTGGGCAGAAGGCAAACCATGAATGACATTAAGGACACATGTAAGTGCGGGACAGCATATTTGGGAAGCTCAAGGCCTTCAACACACAGAAAGCTCTTGAGTGAGAGGGAGAAGGGTCACAGCAGGAGCCTGGAAAAGTCGGTGTGGGCCAGATAAATAAGAAACTTAAAGGTCATGCTAAAGAGTCTGATGTTGTGAGCAACAGTAAGCTGCCACAGGCTGGTCAATTGGATGTGAACTTTGGGCATTGACTTTAGTACCAGGTGCATTACAGCTGCGAGGAGCTGCAGCAATGCAGTGCAGAGGAGCCCAGAGCCAGCCTCACTCTCTCCTTTTTCTTACTCTGCCAGTAAAGCAGAGCTTGTAGTCACTGCCTTGGAGGGGGTGGTTTAGCTTTTATTTACTACTTTATATATTTTAAACATCACATATAACTTACATATTATATATGTATTTATTACATATATAACTATATGTATATATTACATATATAACTTACCTCTTTTTAATGTACTGTCTATATGTTTTGACAAACTTGTGCAGTGTTGTAACCATCATCAAAACACAGGGTATTCCCATCATTCCCACAAGTTCCCTATACCCCTGCGTGGTCAATCTCCACCCTCCAACATAACCTCTGGTGATTGCTTGTCTGATGTCTGATCCTCCAGCTTTGCCTTTTCCAAAATACTATATAAATAGGAACATACAGTATATAGCCTTTTAGAAGACTTCCTTTCCCTTAGCAGAATGCTTTTAGATTTATCTGTGCTGTTTCATATGTAAGTGGTTTGTCCTTTGTATTGTTGAGTGGTATTCTATTGTATGAATACATCACATATACTTTTTAGTTCCATCTACTGATTGATAGTCATCTGAGTTCTTTTCAGTTTCGGTCCACAGGAGTTTATGGGGACTTATGTTTTCATGTTCCCTTGGGTAAATATCTAGTTGTAGGATTTATGATTAAATTAAAAGTACATATATATATATATGTATATATATATAATTTTAGAAGAAGCTGCCAAACTGTTTTCTATGGTAGCAGTATGACTTTCCATTCCTACAAGCCATGAATGAGGGTCCTAGATGCTCCACGTCTTTGTCAGCATGTGTTATTGCCAGTTGATTTTTTAAAGGCCATTCTAATAGATATGTAGTGCCACCTCATTGTGGTTTAGTTTGCATTTTACCAATGATTAACAATGTTGAACATCTTATTTGCCATCCATATATCTTTTTTAGTCAAGTGTCTGTTTAATTCTTCTGCTCATTTTTTAGTTGTCTTCTTATTATTCAGTAGTGACAGTTCTTTATCTGTTCTGGATGCAAATCCTTTAGTAGTATGTGTTTTGCAAATATTTTCTATGTATCTGTTGCTTCTCTATTTTCCTTACAATTTGTTTTGAAGGATAAAAGTTCTAAGTTTTTATGAATTCTAATTTAACTTATTTTTCTTTTATGGCTTGCCATTTTGCATCTGATCTAAGATATCTTTTCCTAATTCAAAGTCACAAACTTCTAGAAGTTTTAATGCTTTGGGAATTATATTTAGGTATGTTATCCATTTTGATTTCTTTTTTATATATGATGTGAGGTATTGTTCGAGGATCACTTTTTACATATAAACGTCCAATGACTAGTAGAGCTTTTATCCCTATAGAAATAAATACCTTAAGGTATACTTAATGCCTGATGCACAGTCAACATTTAATTGATATTGATCTGTTTTATCTCCGATAATTATGGTTCACCCATTTCCCTGGCTCTCCAGAACAAGACTGAGAAGAATAGATTCTGTCTGTCATCTGGGGTGTAGCTGTACATTCACGTCAGGGGCTTCCTCTCATAAACCCTGGAAGAGCCATTTAAAACTTAAATTTGTTAAAAAAAAGAAAAAAAGAAAGAAAGAAAGAAAGAAAGAAAGAAAGAAAGAAAGCGGAGGAAGATGGTAGAATGGAGAACTGATCTTCTTGTGATGAAGATGATTAGGGATTAGGTTCTCAAAGATCAAACTAAAATGTTTTCTAAGGAACCTCAGCCCTCTTCATAGAAATCTAGAATTCCCATGCTATTTAGTTTTACTATTCAAAATGTAAAGATTACTGCACACTATCTGTGTATACAGAAATACTGCTTCTCATTTCAATTTAAGAATTGGGCCAGGTGTAGTGGCTCATGCCTGTAATCCCAACACTTTAGAAGGCTGAGGTGGGCAGATCACAAGGTCAGGAGTTTGAGTCCAGCCTGGCCAATATGGCCAAACCCCGCCTCTACTAAAAATACAAAAATTAGCTGGGCATGGTGGTGCGCACCTGTAGTCTCAGCTACTCAGTAGGCTGAGGCAGAGAATTGCGTGAACCCGGGGGGATGGAGATGGTACCACTGCACTTGAACCCGGTAGATGGTGCCACTGTACTCCAGCCTGGCTGACAGAGCAAGACTCTGGCTCGGAAAAAAAAAAAAAAAAAATCTGTGAAGATGCTTTGGATCTATTCAGGGACTGACCAGTTCCCAAGTCTGTCTGCCTGCAGTGTGGTTATCGCACAGCCTCTCCCACCAAGAAAGATTTCTAGGACTGCAGTTGTACAGTCTGATCCTTTGCTGGAATGAAGCCTTCGCTTCTGAGGATTCATGTGTATTCATAGATGTATACAAAGTGCTTTTTAGGAAATAGCACATTATATTTTCTCTAATTTGGGCACTCATCATCACTGGCACAGCCAAGGAAAATCATAGATGGGGATGGCTTGTAAAAATTATTCGTGGTGCACAGAGGAAAGGTCAGTGCTTTTTATGCCAATTTCCTCCTTTATCCACAGAGGTGAACTGGGGCTCCTCCACACAGGCACTTTCCTACGTGAGTGCTTTAGACAATGCTCTGGAATTAACCACAGTGGAAGACCACGTGAAAAACTTCAGGTAAAGCTGGTGTCTCAGGCACCCTGATGTTGTTCCACATTAGGAGTGCCTTTCCCATATGAGGGACAAGGCATTCAAGTAGTTATAAGCTTTACGGGTATGTTCTAAAAATAAGCAGTCAGACAGTTCTGCCCCATTATTATGACCGCACCTCCTGTAAGTGAGTGCTTCTTTCCTTCCACGCTGAGCTATGCCTACCCCAAACTGCAGCCCCTCATAGTGCCAGGTGTAACCTTCCATGCAGGGAGATAGCAAGGTGGACCAAATGAAGGGGCTGCAGGCCCCATGCAAGTCTGAAATCCAGTGGGGCAGTAAAATCTTAAAGCTCCAAAATTATCTCCTTTGACTCCATGTCTCATGTCCAGATCATGTCGATGCAAGCAGTAGGTTCCCATGGTCTTGGGCAGCTCTGCCCCTATGGCTCTGCAGGGTGCAGCCCTCCTCCTGGCTGCTTTCACTGGTTGGTGTTTGCAGCTTTTCCAAGTGCACGGTGCAAACTGTTGGTGAATCTCCATTTCTGTAGTCTAGAGGACCGTGGCCCTCTCCTCAGAGCTCTACTAGGCAGTGCCCTAGTGGGCAGGCTGTGTGGGGGCTCCAGCCCCGCATTTCCCTTCTGCACTGACCTAGCAGAGGTTCTCCATGAGTGCCCTGCTCCTGCAGCACACCTCTGCTTGGATGTCCGGGCATTTCCATACTTCTGACATCTAGGCAGAGGTTCTCAAACCTCAATTCTTGTCTTCTGTGTGCCTGCAGGACCAACCCCACATTAAAGATGCCAAGGCTTGGGACTTGCACTCTCTGAAGCCAGCACCCAAGCTATACCTTGGCCCCTTTTAGCCATGGCTGGAGCAGCTAAGACACAGAGCAGCAAGTCTCAACACTGCACACAGGAGGGGGGCCCTGGACCATGCCCAGAAAACCATATTTCCCTCCTAGGCCTCCAGGCCTGTGATGAGAGGGGCTGCTGTGAAGTTCTCTGACATGCCCTGGAAACACCTTCCCCATTGTCTTGGTGATTAGCATTTCCCTCCTTGTTACTTATGTAAATTTCTGCAGCCGGCTTGAATTTCTCCCCACAAAAAAAAATTTCCACTACAAATTTTTCAAACTTTCCTGCTCTGCTTCCTCTTGAACACTTTGCTGCTTAGAAATTTCTTCCACCAGATACCCTAAATCATCTCGCTCAAGTTCAAAGTTTCACAGATCTCTAGGGCAGGGGCAAAATGCCACCAATCTCTTCGGATAGCAAGAGTGACCTTTACTCCAGTTCCCAAGAAGTTCCTCATCTTCATCTGAGACCACTTCAGCCTGGACTTTATTGTCCATTATCACTACCAGCATTTTGGTCAAAGACATTCAGTAAGTCTCTATGGAGTTCCAAACTTTTCCACATCTTCCTTTCTTCTGAGCCCTCCAATTCTCTAGAAAGTTCCAAACTTTCCCACATTTTTCTATCTTCTTCTGAGCCCTCCAAACTGTTCCAACTTCTGTGTGTTACACCCAGTTCCAAAGTCACTTCCACATTTTTGGCTAACTTTACAGCAGCACCTCACTCTACTGGTACCAGTTTTAGTCCATTTTCATACTGCTATAAAGAAATACCCAAGACTGAATAATTTATAAAGAAAAAGAGATTTAGTGGACTCATGCTTCCACGTGGCTGGGGAGACCTCACAGTCATGGTGGAGGGTGAAGGAGGAGCAAAGTCACATCTTATATGGTGGCAGGCAAGAGAGTGTGCGCAGGGGAACTGCCTTTTATAAAACCATCAGGTCTCTTCAGACTTACTCACTGTCATGAGAACAGCAAGGGAAAATCTGTCCCCATGACTCAGTTACCTCCCACTGGGTCCCTCTCACAATACGTGGGGATTATAGAAGCTAAAATTCAAGATGAGATTTGGGTGGGAACAAAGCCAAACCATGTAAGGGACCACAAGACCACCTTTTCCTTACTTCACACTTTTGCTATGACTAACTGAACTGAAAACACGAGCATGTCAAGATGGACAGGCAGGATGATTCAAGAATTCTGGTGGGAAAGCGAAAAACCAGGGGAGAGGTTGTCCCATTTTTCCAAGCCTCTGTCCTTGTTATCCCACTGGAATGGTTCTGAGGTTACAGACTTCCTGCAATGGCACATTCTCACACCTTATTTTCACTTCTAGGCCCCAGTGCATTGTCTTGACAGGGGGACCCATGACAAGACCTGCTCTCCTGGACATAACTCACGCCTTTACCAAGAACAGTGGCCTTTGCATCTGCTGCGAAGTCTTTGTGGTAAGAACCACTTCACCCCAGGGAAGTGCTTTTTTCTTCCTGCTTACCTTGGTTTATTTTAGGTGAGGAGAAAAGGTACATGTAGTGATAGGAAAATAGCAAAAAACAGTTTATACAAGAGCCCTCTACCTTGATTCATAGAGCAAGGATGAGCAAGGGCCCGTGATCCTGAATTTAAACCAGTAGACGAAATGTGCTTCAGATTTCGTAGGAGGCCAACTAAAAGTGACAAATATTTCCAAATGATGGCCTTTGAGTCAAGAAAAAGATAACTGGCTCAGAAATAAAATGAAGGCATTTGGGGTGATAACTGTCTACAGAAATATTAAAAGGAGGGAATGAGCCAGAGAGAGCACTATTATAGAGATTAACTGATGAGGAAACCACCCAGACATAATGGCCTTAAATGATAGCACATCAAATTTAGATTAAATATTTGGATAAATTTGGTAACACTGCAGATATTCAAGGAACTAAACCAAGTTTTTCATGCCTTAGATAAACATTCAGAGCTAAATGAATTATTTTTGTTCAGGAAATATGTGGTAGATTAATAACAACTTATTGGTGGTTTTCCTAGGAGGTATTAAAAACTGGTGCTAAAAATTTAACCATAATTATTGACCAATTTCTCAAGTGTGGAGGAAGCATTAAAATAATAATAAAATAGCCGGGCGCGGTGGCTCAAGCCTGTAATCCCAGCACTTTGGGAGGCCGAGGCGGGTGGATCACGAGGTCAAGAGATCGAGACCATCCTGGTCAACATGGTGAAACCCCGTCTCTACTAAAAATACAAAAAATTAGCTGGGCATGGTGGCGTGTGCCTGTAATCCCAGCTACTCAGGAGGCTGAGGCAGGAGAATTGCCTGAACCCAGGAGGCGGAGGTTGCGGTGAGCCGAGATCGCGCCATTGCACTCCAGCCTGGACAACAAGAGCGAAACTCCATCTCAAAAAAAAAAAATAATAATAATAATAATAATAAAATAGTAAGTCTCCGAGTGCGGTGGCTCACACCTGTAATCCCAGCACTTTGAGAGACCAAGGCAGCAGGATCACCCGAGGTCAGGAGTTCAAGACCAGCCTGACCAACATGATGAAACCCTGTCTCTACTAAAAATACAAAAATTAGCTGGGTATGTTGGTACATGCCTGTAATCCCAGCTACTTGGGAGGCTAAGGCAGGAGAATCGCTTCAACCTGGGAGGTGGAGCTTGCGGTGAGCCCATATCGCACCACTGCACTCCAGCCTGGGCTACAGAGCAAGACTCCATCTCAAATAGTAATAATCATAATAATAAAGTCAGGCAGGCACAGTGGCTCACGTCAGTAATCTTAGCACTTTGAAAGACGGAGGCGAGCGGATCACCTGAGGTCAAGAATTCAAGACCAGCCTGACCAATATAGTGAAACCCCATCTCTACTAAAAATACAAATATTAGCTGGGCATGGTGGCAGGCACCTGTATTCCCAGCTACTTGGGAGGTTGAGGCAAGAGAATCACTTGAACCTGGGAGGCAGATGTTGCAGTGAGCCAAGATTGTGCCATTGCACTCCAGCCTGGGTGACAAGAGTGAAACTCTGTCTCAAAAAATAAATAAATAGATAGATAAATAAAATAATAATAAAGTGCAAGGCCTCCAAACTAGCCTGCCTCTACTTCTATTCCCAATACTCTCTTTCTTACCCTGTCTCTCTCTCTCTCTCTCTCACACATACACACACACACACCCCTCACTCAAAATTCTTAGCAATTAATGCATTTTTATAGTACTTAAGTACTTACCTATTCTTCAAAGCTTTTTTCTACAGCTTTTCATATTCGAGCCACACGATAGCCTAGTGAAGCATGAAAGGAAATCAGCCCTGTTCTCATTTTACTGATTGGGAAAGTGAGATTCAGGAAAATTAAATTATTGTACTGGATCACATGACAGGAAAGTGGCAGAGCCAAAATATCGGTCTAGGCCACCCAAGTGTGCTGTGTGTCATGCCTTGAGGAGAAAGTCTAGGACACTTGCAGCCTTGGGAGTGCTGTTAGCATTCAGCATCACTACTTACTTCTCCAGTACCTGCCAAGGAACAGGGCCGTCAGGAAGTCATGTGACTTTCCAGCCAGTCAACTCTGCCCTGATGCTGGGGGCTAATTTACCACGTCATCATGACCAGCACTTAAGCATCTCTTTACACTTGGTAATATTCTAAATGCCAGTATTCTATGAAGCAGTTGATCATACTCTCTTTCCTCTTGGTGCTTATATAACGGTCATTCAAATAATATAACTCAATGCAATTATCTGGTAGGAGGTAGAGAGACTCCTACTAAGCACTTGAGATTGACAGGTTAAGTAATGACCAACTGTGACGCTAAAGAATTTTTTAAAATCTTATCAAGCACCCCTCTCTTGTATTATCAACTTTGGTGCCCTGGATTCGTGGATTTCATTTTGGCCAATATAATATAGAAGCCAGTTTTGATGAAATAAGCAGTTTGGGGTGTTTTTCTTCTGCAGCAATTCAGAGAAAATTTAGTTTAGCAGGCAATAAAGTATCTTTAGGACTGGAGAAATAAACTGGGAGTATAAACAGTCATCTATTGGCAAAGGAGAAAGGGTCTTGTCAGAAACAAGAGAGACTGCTTTTAATTAACCCTTTGCTGCTTTGACTATCATACAGGATAGTGCTGGAATATCATTTCATTTGAAGTAGGTGGCTTAGTCTGTGCCAACAATGGCCCTGTTTGTTTGACATACATGTTGGGCTGCATTATAAACTACTCTATCGGTCTCTCCATGTAGGGCCCAAGAACCTTGCTCTCAGGTGCCAAGGTTCTCCTGGGGACAGAAAATAGTTACTGCATCAGTTAATGACTTTCCAGTTAGTTACTTTGTGTGAGCTCCTGGGGCTACAGATGTTGACAGCATTTTTAGACTCTGGGCTCAGTCGTCAATCATCTTTGCAAAGAAACAGATGGAAAGGGATGTAGGGGGAGTAAGTATGCCATCAGAATTTTTTTTCCAAAAGCACAAAGGTTGATGGTTAGGCCAACCTTGTGGAAAATGTTAAATAGTGATGATGATAAGAGAATGACAGTTTAGTTTTTAAGTCTAGGAAGCTGGTGCTCAGGGGCTTTTGAGAATAACAGTCAAGTTTCAAATCACTATTTCGCCACCTATTAGCCGTGAGTCCCTTAGGCACATAATATTTCATCTCTCTGTGCCTTACTTTTCTCAGTTGTAAAATGAAAATAATAAAAATGGCACCTATGTTACAGAGTTGCTATTTGAATTACAGAAGATAAGCTTTCTAATGCTGAGTCTGATGTCCCTCAAAGAATAAATGCTCAATTAACTTTCATTGTTATTGTCAATATCATTATTTTTGGTATGCTATAGTTGCCATTTTTATTCCCAAAATATATTACCTTCAATAAAAACCTAAAGCATGCCCTCTTAGAAAAACCAGGTCCAGGCCGGGCGCAATGGCTCACGCCTGTAATCCCAGCACTTTGGGAGGCCGAGGCAGTTGGATCACGAGGTCAAGGGATCAAGACCATCCTGGTCAACATAGTGAAACCCTGTCTCTACTAAAAATACAAAAAAAATAGCTGGGCATGGTGGTGCATGCCTGTAATCCCAGCTACTCAGGAGGCTGAGGCAGGAGAATTGCCTGAACCCAGGAGGCAGAGGTTGCGGTGAGCCGAGATTGTGCCATTGCACTCCAGTCTGGGTAACAAGAGCGAAACTCCATCTCAAAAAAAAAAAAAAAAAAAAAGAGAAAGAAAAAGAAAGAAAAGAAAAGAAAAACCAGGTCCAGACACTGGATTTTGAACTTTTTAAGTGTACAGCAGTTTGATCATGACGGAACAGTGAGATATGTGCTTCTCCCCACTAATCACAGGACAGCAGGCTCTGGGCTCCATCCTTCTGGTGGCCGGCAGCTACTGAAATATTTGCTTTAAGTGCTGTTATCCTACCAGAAAGGAGCAAGACTTAAAACATGGGCATTTTGATGCAGGTGGGTAGAGGGAAAATGTGTGGGCACAGCTGTCATTTCCTGCAACTGCCGCATTTTAAAATTTGAAATTAAAAGACCTGTACTCTTTGCTGGGCCTCAAGCACCCACTGTGGCCTTCCAACTATCCAGCTAACTTACAATCTCCTCTAAGCCGTTTCCCCTCTGTTGCTTTTTTACTATTCAGCTTAAAGATTTTACGCAAGCCACTCTTCATCAAGGTAAATTTGGGGACCCATTTTAAAGAATCCAGCTTTGTAATTTAAAAATTACTGTCTGTTCTCTTTTGAACTACATACTTCCGTGTCATTGGAAGTGACATACTTCCAATAGGCTTTATATTAAACATGAAAGTCATTTTGTTCTTTTGTACATTATCATTCTTGTCACCATAGGAAGACAGGAGGGAGGAAAACTCTGCCTTATAGTATCCCCCTCATATTTCTAAGCACAGCCAAGTTCAACAGGTTCAGCAAAAGGTAAGTTATTAGTTAAAGGTTGCAAGTTGCATCCTCCACCACTTCTACCCTCTGTATCCTGACACACATAAGCACTGCCTTTGTCAGTGAGCTTCCTCACTTATGTCATTGATAGTAGATGGAGAGAGATCCAAACCAGTCATCCTACATAATTTAATTTGAATTTATGTACCTGTAATTCTCTGGGCACACTGTGTTCAGTTCTAGAAGTCTTATGGGGTTCGTTCACACTTCCTCTCCCATATGCAAAGATATCATACTGCAGCAGTCCCTCATTCCTAATACTTCTATTTTTACATTTAAAAATAGGAATTTTTTATTAAAACAAATAACAGGTATACATTTAAGGTTCAAAAGTTAATTCAATTGAAAGTTGATTCCATTGATCTGGGATTTGGAAAAGATAAAGTCATTATTGTCCAAAAATATGCCCCTTACCTATTTTCTTTCTTTCTTTCTTTCTTTCTTTTTTTTTTGAGATGGAGTCTCGCTCTGTCACCATGCTAGAG